TATTCCATAATTAAACTAAATTGCAAGTCGAAATCAGTCGATACAACGTGCATTCTGTATCCATGAAACACATTTAAACATTTTTAGCGCATTTTATTGATCTTAAATTTCATTTAAGCCAAATTCTTCATGTTGCAATGCACATTGTGGTTTATGAGTAGCTTCCAACGGCAATACAGACATTTTTATTCTTCTAGTGATGAAACAATATAACTCTAATTATTTTCGCAGCCTAATTAAAGATATTTATCGTTTTTTCGTTTTCGATGCATGAACTACTTTTTTTCAAGCATGAAATGTCTACCAGTTATAATAAGTTTAGAATTTTATACAACGATTAGTTTTATTAAATTCTTCTTGCGTAAATTAATTCCTTTGCATTCACATTTATTATGACTTGCAAGTGATTTTATTTTGAGTGTAATTTCATTTGAAACTAATTTAAATGAGATGATTTTATAATTTCAATTAAGGCTTTCTCTTTAATTATTAGATTACTTATATTGTCTTAAATTCACAAAATTAATGATTTTATATGAATAAGCAAATTGTTTTGATATCCTTCTACTGGTCATGAATTTCGAACAAAGTTTGTATATTTTTCAGTCAAATGTTGTATATTTTAATAATTAGAAATGCTACGCTTCGTACTTCGATCATTTTAATATCAAAAATTTCTTCGATATCAAACGAATTTAGCATAATATTTGATGGTTTCGAATGTTTGAAAATTGTTTCAAAAAAGAAGTTTAATTATTTGTTAGAATATATCAGAAATGTTAAACTGTCATCATTAATGTTCAGGAGATATTGCTTCAAAGAGGAGTTCACACGCATTGTTTTACTGTTATCTGTCAATTATTTTTAAGACTATTTATTCATTTCCATGCCAATGAGTTTAGCTGTTAACGAAACAGCAACTGAAGGCATAATAAGTGCCAATGCAAATGAAGAAAAAGCAATAATAAAAACTATAGGCATAATTTTGCACACATATGGTTATATCGTTGTCGGTACATTTCTTACATCGATCAATGTTCCCGTTTTTCTACTTGTGATAACGCATAAAACACTCAGGTCAACCGATTTCTGATTTATCTTATAAAGATATTATAAAAATGAGCACTGAATATAATTTGCTCTATCAATATGGCATTGCTACTTTTGTATTTTAGTAAATGAGACAAAAACGATTTTGGAATAATTTAGAGGTAACAAACATGTGTATAAATTTAACTATTTCAGAAGTCCCTATTTGGTTCTTGCGGTTGTTTTCTTTAACAATGCATTGACCGGAATTTGTGCGATATTAACTGGAACAAAGCGAATAATCGATACTGCTAATGGAGAAAAGCTTATCGATAACCACGAATGTGTGCTGAATGTTTGTTTATTTTCCGGAAACATTCCCACAAGTCATTCATCTGCTTTGATTAGTATCAAGTTTATATGGTAATTAAAATTACGGTTAGGATGGTACTACAACAAATAAGATTTCAAATACCCAAATGAATGATATTTCAGGTGTATACCTTTCTTTTAACAGTATTTTTTTTGAATGGTTGGAGCTTATTGATGCACAGCTTAGAAAGGCTTTGTGTTGTAGCATTCCCATTATATTACTATAAGAAGAGCACACGAATAATTTATTCATTGATTGCCGCACAGAATATAATTGCTATTATTGAGATAACTTGCACAGTCATTGCAACTTTAATTGAACCAGCACGACGTATATCTAATTTTTGCATGTAAGTAACGACAATGAAGTAATTCATCTATTTAAAAAAATGAATATTTTGTTGTCAACTGCATCTTTTGCCATTTAACAGAGCAAATCTGTATCGCAGGTGCGTAATATTATAAAATGGTTTCTTTACTTTTAAAATCATCGAAAGACAACTCTTGCAGGTTGCAAGACACGTATTCACCTTTCTTTTATAAAACATTCACAAATCTAACTTCCCTTGCTTCAACGCTGAGTTTTATCGTTATGATTGTTGTTGCTGTCATCCTGAGGAGGTATGACTTTGAAGAATTGAAAAATTTGTATTCTTAAAAATTATATCATTTATTGATGCGGATAATTGACACATGCAACAATGTATATCCTTTTCCTTCTTAAGCAATATCCAATGTGTTCCATTCAACATAAAATTTTCGTGCTTTCGGATAAGGATTTGATGAACTGCTTAATAATGGAACTACGAGACGGTACCATAAATCGGAAGCAATCCGATCATTTACCAACAACAAAGTTAAATTTAGATATGAATGAAATTTTAATTGCATTACTATTATCCTCAGGAATTTTGGTTCGCAATTTTTTACAAGGCATTCACATAACCGCGATTTGTCGCATTTCCTCAATAATCAAAAGCGATACACTCAAACGTCACTGATATCTTGTTGTTTTAGATTTTGTATGTTCCGATTTCCATGTAAAGTTCTGACAAAGCTAATTTATTCTATGATACAAAACATTGCTATTCGATTTTTAGAATATATGTTTGATTTATTACTTTCTGGACACGTTGACCAAATAGTAGTGGGAAAGATTATGATTAAAGCTTTTTCATTGCTGGCAATGAATTTTATGAATAATTTCCAGCTCTCGTTTATTTGATATATTATTCATATTTTTACAGTTTTTGTGGTAGCACCATCAGCAGTGGAATATATTTATATGATGAATCCTTCTATGATGTCACGAATCATTCTCATGTGTTGCGGATATTTATGGATATTGAATTCTTTCAATATGGTAGTGTTATTTTTGTATCGTCAAGGAGATTCTCATCGTGCCGCAATTCGGTGTTTCAAATATTTACTTTGTGAACGGAAACAAACAGCCTAACCAATGATAGTTTTTGGTATTAGAAAATGAACAAGTCATACCATATCATCTTTTCTGTTTAATGTGATTGGTTTATTGATTATCAGTTCATATTTCAAATATACAACAATTTTGTACTGTTTAATGTTTTACATACGTTCAATAAAGAGTATCTTGAGCGATTTCGAAATTCTGGGCTTCAGATGCTATATTCAGTTATATCCTACAAATGACACTTGAGAAAAGCTCTAATAAACTTCTGAGGATCATGATTTAATAGTTAATCTTATCCATCAATTATTTACATGGATAGCAATATATACTGTAAACTATAGTATGACGACTGACTGATTATAACCAATTAGAGAAATAATACATTAAAAAAAAATAATACATTTGCTCAATTAGAGAAGTGATACATTTGAGATTAATAATTGTATCAGCTATATAATTTTTGAACCTAAATTAAAACGTATACTTAAAATTATAAGATGAGGCTTCCAGAAGTAATTTGAATAAGATATATTAAACTTAAAGTCACAAGAATTGTTTCTGCTATAAAAACTTGAAATTATCTTCAATTATAAAACGAAATTATGTAACATAAAAAAGGTTAATTATAGTAATTAGTAAATGCCACAAATTAAAAATTAATACAAATATTTAGGAGAGATATTTTACAACGATGAATAAATGCAGCAGAGATAACACCAAAATATTGCTAAAAATAGGTTCAATGAAAATAACAATTAAAATTTTTTATTTCACTTTTCATTATTAGAAACGTGAAACAGGTATGAAATTATGCTAACATAATTTCATACCTGTCTCACGTCTCTAATAATAACGAATTCATTTGGAATTTCTCTTTGCAGCTATTTCTTTCATTGCTATTTATAAATTTTCAACAAAAAAAATATTTGATTTGAAATAACTTAATTAGCGAGTTGTTTAATAAACAACTTAATAATTAACTTAATTAACGTAATTTATTTAAGAAAATAAGTCACAAATATCCTTGTTTAAGATATATTTACATGGTAAAGAATCCGGAAGTTTTTTAGTTTCAAACTTATAGCATATTGATTGGTATATTTTACGAATTGAACTTTCAAACAATTTTTAGTGGAAAAATTTTAGGCTTATTTTAAAGTTGCGCCTTGTTTGTTGATTCATAGAATTGAACTTCTGAGTGAAAAAAAATGACATGCGACATGCGAATGGCATGCAGACATGCAAATATCATGCGACATGCGAATTTGTTTTCATTTTTAAAACCATAACTTGTTTATAATTTTTGAGAATTCCCGACTATGATACTGGAATTCGGATTATGGTGAAAGAGGTAAATTTTAAAATTCAATTAAAACCCAAATTTTTATAACGATTTGATAATTTTAAAAATTGTTGCATTTTTATTTCTATTTTATTGATCGTATTTGCCCGTTGCGTTAAACAGTATGAATTTTGAAATTCATTATTTTTCCATTCTTATTCTTTTGCTAATTAAGCTTCCTTTTTTTTTTTGTTTTGCTAATTAAGCTTAACTTTTCCCTTAAAAATTTAAATAATTTTTTTCTTTTATCCTAAATTTCAATATTACTTTAATATATCTTAATACTTACAGCAAGCAAAAGATTTAATGAATTGCTAAGTTATTTATAAACCTAATTAATTTTATATAAATATAAGGAAACTGATCGATGCGTGCCAGTTCATTTTATATATTACGGGAAAAGTGGTTGTTTATTCGTTAATTTTCTACGAATCATTCCAATTGCTTTCCGTTTATCAAATAGTTTAGTTGGTTGTATCTTTTATAGCTCAGTTGATTAATTATCTATTTATTTTTTTAAAATCTTACTATTAAATTAATCATTTGCAATCACTTCTTAACAGATTTCATTTTATTTATTTTACTTTTATCAATTAGGAAAAAAATCAAATACTTAATTATTATTATTTGTATTGCCTTTTACCATTAGGAATAGTTAATATAATTTTATTATTTTAATTAACAAATTATTAAATATTATCAGTCGATTAATATCCATTTACCTTTTTAAAATCTTACTATTAAATTAATCATTTGCAATCACTTCTTAATAGATTTCATTTTATTTGTTTTACTTTTATCAATTAGGAAAAAAATATCAAATATTTAATTATTATTATTATTATTTGTATCTCATAGTTAATATAATTTTATCATTTTAATTAACAAATTATTAAATATTATCATTTCGTTGAAATTCGTTGTTTTTTTTTTTCAATCCAATGAATATTTTAATTTTAGCATAAATTTTGCTAATTTCTTAAATATAAATGAATTTTGTTAATTATTCATAAATAAATTTTATTAATTATTCATAAATAAATTTTATTAATTATTCATAAATAAATTTTATTAATTATTCATAAATAAATTTTTTTGAATTTATTTTTTCATAGATTTAATATAAGTTAAAATTTTAATGTCTGTTTACTTCGAAAGTTTTATTCTTTGTCATCATCATCAAAACTCTTCGTGAAAATCTCATTTCTCTGCTTCAGCGACTGGTTAGTAGTAGTGCTTGTTATCGATTTTAACGAAGTATACGTTAAACTTGCTTATCCTAAATAATTTACTGAAATGATACAGCTGTGATAGATGTTAACATCAAGGAAAAAAATATATAAATCATATAAAATTGTTGATCTTACTTTAATCGTTCCTTCCATCCTCTTCATTTCTCTCTTGCTATCTTGCTTTATTTGCAATCAATTATTTTAATTTAAAATTTTTTGCAAAATTATTGAAATAGAAACAAGATTTGATGTTTGATCAAGCAAAGATGGGAAGAGTGGATTGAAATGTGATTTAGATGAATTGAGATTTTTCGTTATCAACAACATCATCAAAGTTAGCGTTATCTGAAAATGAACTTTAATCAATTTTATCATTTCTCTTCTTTTCTTCTTCTTCAAATTTCTCTTTGATTGCTATTTTCTAAAGTTCAATTTTGCTTATCATTATTCAATTCCGCCAAAAATTCATCACTTCACATTTTGAACTTTTTGAGAAATAATAAATTAATCAAATAAAAACGTAAAATCTCATAGCATATCCTCAATTGATTGACTAATTTCAATTTTCAATCAATCATTTCTTATACAACCATTTCAAATTTTGCTTATTTAAATATGCAAAAGTAATGATAGACTTGATCTTAATTTATTGTTAATATTTATCAATTGTTGACCTTTCTAATATTATTATTATTTGTAGAATTTCATATTAGATTATTTTTCTTATTAAATTATGATACCACAAACATTTATCAATTGTTGACCTTCCTAATATTATAACAATAATTGACCTTCCTAATATTATAATTATTTATAAAATTTCATATTAAATTATTTTTTTTATTAAATTAAGATACCACAAATATTTATCAATTGTTGACCTTTCTAAAATTATGACAATTGTTAACCTTTCTAATATTGGAATTTCGTATTAAATTATTTTTCTTACTAAATTATGATACCGCAACTATTTATCAATTATTGACCTTACTAAATTACGATACTACAAATATTTAACAATTGTTGACCTTTCTAATATTATAATTATTTATAGAATTTCTTCTTAAATTATGATACATTTGCTAATTATATCAATTATTTCTTTATTTACTCATTTATGCTAATTATTTCATCTATCTATACATTCTAAGTAATTTCATTTATACATCTTGCCTTTTCAATCATTCTCTAAAGTGTTTTCAAAATACTTTTATAATTAATTGAACCAATTCATTTTCACTAACTGCTTCACTTGCTTTCTTTACTTACTTGTTTAATTATCTTCTTACTCATCTCTTTTTTCCTCTCTTTTCTTCTGCTCATTCTTTTTTGTAAAGAAAACTCTTCGAAAAAGTTAGAGAATAAAATTTCCCTCGAAAAATAGATTTCGCTTCTATTCATCTGTTTTAATTTTCTTATGAACCCTATCATAGGCTATTTCTATCGATCAGGATTAATTTCTATCATTGGCTATCTATATCGATCAGGATTATATTTCATTTTTGAATTTTTCAACTTTTATTCGTTTATATTATGAAGTTTTCAAATTTTCATTATGATATCCTAAAATGAAAGATTCAATTCTTATGAATCCTATCGTGAGCTATTTACATCGATCAGGATTAATTTCTATCATTGGCTATCTATATCGATCAGGATTATATTTCATTTTTGAATTTTTCGATCTTATCGAATCTTTTCAAATTCTATTCGTTTATATTAAATTTTCAACATTCCACTATAAAATAGGCTAAAATGATAGATTCAATTTTATCAAATGCAACATTTTCTTTTCGTTCATTTACAAACCATTAAAAATTTGATTCATTCAATTTTCATTGATTACTTTCTTATGGATTATTTATGCTAAAATATTTTATTGAATATAATCGTAAAAAAAAAATAATACTATAATAATTTATTATTATTATTATAGTTTAGCCGTATTTTTCTTTTTACTAAGTTAAATAATAGTGCAATTGAGAATGTGAAAAATCGTTTCAGTGGAGTGAAAAAATAAAATGATGGAAAAATCGAAACAAATGGTTGAAAAGATAGATATATTTCCCGTCCTTTAGTTAACTAATAAAATTTTTATTCTAAAATTTTAAAATAACAAAAAAAATTTTTCTTTGAAAAGATAAAAAAGGGAATAGTGAAGAAGATAGGATAAAAATAGTGAAAAATTTATGGAAAAAATAAAATGTACTTCGTCGTTTTTTTTCCTTTTTCAATCATTGATAACGTCGAATAATATTCTTGCCAGCGATTTCTTAAAATAGAAATTTGTGAAATTTTTTTTAAAACATTTCATATTTTCTATCTCTTACTCTCTTTCTCCTTAATCTATTGCCCTTAGGTTAAAATTGGATATTGTACTATTTCATGGAAATAATATGATTAGTAAAAACGTATATCGGAATCCTCCCCCTAATCTATTGCCTTAATGTTGCCAATAGGTTAAACTGCATATTGTACTATTTCATGGGAATAATATGATTAGTAAAAACGTATATCGGAATCCTCCCCCTAATCTATTGCCTTAATGTTGCCAATAGGTTAAATTGGATATTGCACTATTTGATGATAGTAAGAATTTTTTGATTGTTTGTTTAATAGATAATAACAAATAATTGACGAATTAGAATTGTGAATAAATTTAGCAAAAACAATAAGAACAAAATTTAAAATATTTATATTTGTTTATTTGTTTATCAGTGAACATATATATATATCAGGTCCAGTGGACATATATATCAGGTCCAGTTGCACATTATATATCAGGTCAACTTCAAAAATTTTCAATTTTTTATGCAATACCTACCAATCAAAAAATCATACAATCCACTGATAAACAAATATATTTCAAAATTTTGTTTTCTATATGATGTATTCAATCTATTTGTATATATATATATTTAGATGTTTAAAAATCCAATTATAATTTATTCAATGCTTTTCATCTTTAAGCATATTCAACTTGTCATAATATTATTTGCTTTGATTGATCTGTTTGCATCAAATCTGTTCACGCATGTTAAATTTAATTTCTTTCATTCAATCATATATGATCTAATCTTGGGCTATTTTAATTTAATTTGTTCATTAATTCAAATTTAATTAATGTCAGGAAATTCAATATGCTATTTGTACATCTAATTTCAGGTTAAAAATGACTAATATCAGTAATGCTAATTACAGACAACTAGAGAACACGAAAGGTAAGATGAATTTTTATAGCAATATTATTTTGAACAATTAATTTCACATTTTTGTTGTTGTCATTAGTTTAGCAAATGTGAAACAACAATTATGAATTAAATTTCATCAAATCAACATTTCAACTATTTTGAGTTCTTCTTATCTTTAGCCTTAATCTTTTCTGCACTGATTTATAAGTGGTAAAATATACTTGCAGATTTAGCCTTAACCTGAATTCTTCTTACCTTTAGCCTTTAGAACTGAATCAAATTTCATCTGATCAATATTTCAATTATTTTCAATTCTTATCTTTAGCCTTAACCTTTCTGTACTAATTTATAAGTAGTAAATTACAGATTTAGCGTTAACCTGAATTCTTCTTATCTTTAGCCTTTAGAAATGAAACTCTTTATCCACCTCTTAGTGTTGAAGATCAGCCTGAGTTATCCTTGGATGTAATGATTTTAGGCACATTTCAACTATTTTGAATTCTTCTTATCTTTAGCCTTAGTCTTTTCTGTACTAATTTATAAGTATTTATAAGCCTTAGTCTTTTCTGTACTAACTGTACTAATTTAAAATATGCTTACAGATTTAGCCTTAACCTGAATTCTTATCCTTAGCCTTTAGAAATGAATTAAATTTCATCTAATCACATTTTAACCATTTTAAATTCTTCTTATCTTTAGCCTTAATCTTTTCTGCACTGATTTATAAGTGGTAAAATATACTTGCAGATTTACCCTTAGCCTGAATTCTTCTTACCTTTAGCCTTTAGAACTGAATTAAATTTCATCTGATCAATATTTCAACTATTTTCAATTCTTATCTTTAGCCTTAACCTTTTCTGTACTGATTTATATTAGTAAAATATACTTGCAGATAATTCAGAGAGTAATGAAAAGAATGTTGAAGAATTACTGGCAAAGTTGTACGATCAACCTTTTCATCGTAAAATTCGAGGACGTACCAAATTTAATGAAAATCATATAAAAAATGTTAGTATTCCATATTTTATTTCAAACTTCAATAAAATTATTCAAAATTTTATTTTATAAATTTCGAGAAAAATCCATAAATTATTATTTTTTGAAAAAAAAAGGTATAATTTATGAATATTTCCGAAATTCTAATAATTAAAAGCTTAATTACGAACACAGAAAAATGTATATAATTTGAAAGACAAAGAAAATTATTAGAAATAAAATATGCAAATTGACAACGGTCTTATAGCATTCTATTGATGAAACGTTACTATATTAGATATTACTATATTACTGCATTATATTATTATAATATTACTATATTATAAGGTTACTATATTAGATATTACTATATTACTGTATTATATTATTATAATATTACTATATTATAACGTTACTATATTGCTATAATATAGTAACATAGCAAGGTTACTATATTCAAAATCTCACTTTATAAATTAAATAAAAGCTATAAATTTTTATTGAACTACTTATTGTCAATTTATTTCAGTATTCTAGCTTAACTTTAAATATATCGGCGTATTCTGTTAGCCACTATGACTTTGAAGAAAAGTATATATTTTGAAGAATTTTGCAGAATCTCTTGCATTCACTGAAAGCCTTAGATTGTACGATTGATGAAACGTTAAATATAGAACAAATAATAGATTTGGGTCTTGAAATTTTGGCACAAACTTGGTCACGGAAAGATGCTGATTCCGAAATTGCTTTTCAGGTAAACTTCTCAGGTTACATGACTTAATTTATTAATAAATCAAAATTTTAATTTCAATTCAGAATGTCCGATAAACGACATAATCATCTTTGTAGGGTTTACTAACAGTACTTGAATATTGCCTTCATCGATCAACAGCCGGTTATTCATCTTTCGAGCAATTCATCGATGCTCTTGGTTATAATGCTGCACAGTTTTGGCGATATGCGGTACCATATATTTATGATTCCGATTTAACCTGTGGTACCAAATTTCGTGATTCATTACTGTTCAGCTTAACGCTGTACGATGTTAATAATGGAAAAAATAAACTCAGGTTTGTCAAATGTAAATTTTCACTAACATAATAAAACAAATATAAACGATTTTAATAGTTATCATTTTATTAGTTATATCAAATTCAAAAATCAAATTAAAAATACCATGCTCGTATAGCAATGAAATATTTTTAATTATCCCATAAAAACTTCATCACTCATAAGAACATAATATATACCTGTAATTTTGATTCTTTCAAGTTTGTACCATTTCATTTAAAACTTCTCACTCATTTGATATTTCCTAAAATTATAACTAGTTGTCACTTTGCAGGGAATTATACTCTTCAGTACCAGGTGTTCGTAAATCCTTACTTGGTGTTCATGCAAAACAATTTGGTGAACGATTCCATCATTTGCAACGGCGATTAAGTATCAGTCGAGAAGGTTCATCACAATCCAGTACAATTAGTTCTACTGATTCAATCTTTTCTCAACAAAGTGAGAAAAGCAGTAGTAGCATATCAACAGGCCGTTCACGAAGTATTTCACCCGGTTTGTTTTTTTAAAAAATTTTCATAATTGTTTCTACTACTTTTTCATCCTTCGAAATAATATATTCAATTTCATTTTCATTCATTTAATTCCTCTCATTCTATTTCACTTATCATTCACACTTCATTTACCACTTAAATTAATTAATTTGATTAATTAATCACCTAATTTCTCTTATTATTTACTCATCCATTTTTTGTCTATTTTAATTTCTTCATTAAACAATTAATTCGCTAATGTAAAATGTAATTTAATCTTGCTTTAAATTATATCCTATTCTGATTAAAAAAATAATTATACGATTACGCTCAGTATTTTTGACTAATTTCAATTTCATTATCATGATGTCGTCTTTTTCTTTTGTTTCAAAACGGATTTGTAAATATAAATTTCTTGTCTAAAGAGAAGCCACGAAGATCACAACGATCAATTTCTTCACATGGTGCATCGGAGAGGAGTATAAATTCACGGGAACTATCAAAGGAAGTAATTGCAAGTGGAGGCTTGGCTAGTACTCATTTTCAGGTATTAATTTTAAAATTCACCGTAACTTCTAGCTGATAGAATAAAAGTATGTTTAATTTGTATTACATTTAAATTAGTATTAATTTAAAGGAAATTTCATCAGCTATAAACCTTTTGCATTATATATCAATTTCAGCAACGTGTAATTAACGTTTCAAATGCACCACCAGTTAGCTTAAAACGAGAAAAAACAGGCGAATGGGAAATTAAGCAAGGTTCTGGTGGCCTAGTTTCAGCAGTAGATCCTGTAATGTCAAAAGACAAAGAAAATGTTTGGCTTGCTAATCTTGGAATGAATTTGCATAAAAAACCAAAGTAAATTTATCATTAATTGCTTACTAAGGATGATTAAAGAGTGCAACAAGAATTTAGAATTCAATTTTTTAATTTTGAAAGTTTAAATTTTTTAAGAGTGATGAATTCAATTTTAAATAACCGTACTGCTAAAGTTGAATTAAATTCAAATCAAATTTCAAAGTTTACTTCAAAATTCAAACTTTCGCTTATTAGCCTTTTATTTCACTCATCATTATTATCGATACAATCGATAAGCATTAATTTCTTAATTTCATAAAGCTGAATCAGTGTATTTTGCAACAAAGATTACATGATTAGATAGGGTGATAAAATGTTTGATAATATCAGTAATTAGATAAAACATTAGGACTTTTTAAAGAGTTTATAACTTTTGAAAACCGAACAAGAAAACGAAAATTTAGGATTTAAAAAAAATGTTTGAAAATAAAAATTATCGTTTAAAAACAAAATTTAAATTTGTTTGCAGAAGAAGCAGAGATCATAATATTCAACCAACAACAAATACCTTAGGTAAGTTTGATTGAAATTTGTAAAAATAAATTATAATCAAAAATTTCCTATGTGTTATTTGATATTGCATTATTAGTTGAAATAGATTTACAAGGAATTATTCAAATTTTGATAGAATTATAGGATTACCATTATTGAAACAAGCAAATGCTGATGTCCTCTTTCATGTTCTCAGTGAAGGACCAACTAGTAAGGAGCAAGATACTCAGTATGTCAGGTAAAAACTTGGACCGTTTTAAATTTGATGGTGAAAAGAAAAAGGAGAAGATTGAAATTTTTCAATTTTGTAAAACGAAAAAGTCAAATAAAGAAAATGAAAAGGTATAAACGATTGTTGACAGCAGTAATAATATATAAGAAAATGTAATGATAACATTAATAATATATTAAGAAAAGGTAATGACAACAGTAATAACATATAAGAAAAGGTAATGACAGGAGTACTAATATATAAGAAAAGATAATGACAACAGTAATAATATATAAGAAAAGGTAATGGCAACACTAATAGTATATAAGAAAAAGTAATGAGAACAGTAATAATATATAAGAAAAGGTAATGACAATAGTAATAATATATAAGAAAAAGTAATGACAACAGTTATAATATAAAAGAAAAAATAATGACAACAGTAATAATATATAACATAATGACAACAGTAATAATATATAAGATGACAACAGTAATAATATATAACATAATGACCAGTAATAATATATAAGAAAAGATAATGACAATAGTAATAATATATAAATAAATAACAAATATTAAAAAGAGCATATTTAAATGATGAATTTTCCAAAATTATCAGAATCGTAAACTGAGCTATTTTAATTGAAATTTATGCTTAAATAAGGAAAAAGAACAAAATGAATATTTAAGAGAAGAGATGTCATTATTGGGTGTGCTACATAATTATAATCGTGGTAATTATAAATTAAATCCTGTAATTGTACAAGAAGATGATTATAATGTATACTATGGTGGAATAAGTAACGGTTTATTATGGCCTGCGTTGCATAATTTGGATGAATATATTGTCAAAGAATACGATGAACCAAAGGTTATAATTATAAGATAAATTACGACAAATATTTATATATAAGTGTTAAAATAAAATTTACTTATGGAATTAATCAATTAATCAGCTTATGGAATTACTGATACTGCAAGTGTTTTCACATAGAATTAAATTAGATAGCATATTAGTACAAATTTAAATTTCAATGAAATTTAAAATTAATTATTAAGAAAGGAAAAATCAATAAAATTAAAATTGTTAAAGGTAATGCGTGAACATTGGTATGCATATGTTCGAGTAAATTATCAATTTGCTATCGATGCCGTTCGAAATAGCCGACCACAGGCATGTAATTAATAGAATGTAAATTAAATAATCAAATTAGAAAGCAGTTAAATTAGGTTTAATTAAATTCAGTTGAATTACTTAATCTTCAATATATTTGCTTCATTTTGCGAAAGAAATTTTTGAATTTAATTTACCTGCTTAATAATTATTTTGTTTGTTGTAGGACAGACAATTATAAATTCAACAAATTTATTAATTTCCCTAATTAAATAAAAATAATTAAATAAAAATGCGATTGTCATTGTATATGTTTATTTTCTCAAAAGCTATCAAAATTATCCAATGATATTTTTGCATAATCTATAAGCTTAAATGAACTCAAATATAAAATGGATATATTCAACAATCAAATTTTTATTCAACCATTATTAATTACAGTATGCACTAATTATTAATGTTATTGTACAACAAAATGAATATTATTGAAACCATTTCGATGCGAAATTTTCACCTTAAAATAAATTGTAGGATTTCATTTGGATTCATGATTATCATTTGATGTTAACCGGAATGATTATGCAAAGTTTGGATGAAAATCTCGAAGTAATCATTTCTCTATCTTTTTCGTTTCTAATTTCAAATAGCTTTATTCTATAATATCATTTAAAATTATATTATCATTAGCAAGTAAGGATTTCTTCTACCTGTTGTATTTTCTTGTTTATAACAAAATTGATAAACAAAATGAGAAATTAATAAACATTTGTTTTGTATTAATTTAATGGGAATATAATAATTACAAGGAATGGTTATATTTTCTTGACAGAGCTATAAATTCTTACATGGGAAACATTTCGTTTATTTAAACCGATAATCAACTTACTTAATCATATTTATCTTAGATATATTATTCTGTTGAAAGAGTGAAATCGGATATTCTAATCAGAATTGTGCTCTTATCACTTCCTTTATCAGTTTATTTCTTTTAATTTTTTTTTATTCGCATTAATATATTCATGTAATGGTTATTTCCGGTTGGTTTCTTCTTACATATACCATTTCAACCACCGGAAAATTTTTTCACTAAATATGCTTTGATTGGATATGCCGTTTTACGGGGTTTATTGCGATTCAACAAAGTATGTCTATTTACGGTATTATGCAAATTAAATGAAATTAGATTTTAAAATATTTTCAAAGTCAAAGGTCAAATTTAACTCTTTATAGAAAAGTTTTTATTTATATTTTTATTTCATAAATATTATTCCAATTCTCTTGCTTTATGGCCACTATTATAGCTGTAGATAAATGGATAATAATGCTTATTGTTAAGGTTGGATTCCAAACTCATCGTGATCGTGATAAATTTGTTGAATTATGCCATATCAAATTACCAAGTGTTGAAATTAATTACGAAAGTTCAAATGATGTTTACTTCGTGACATATGAAGGATGGACTTGTTCACTTGGAGTTTTTCCAGTTTCGATCAAAAATGAAGACTTTTTAAAATTTGTTAGACTAACTGAAACTTGTCAAAAAGCTTCCGAAATACGACAACGTGTAATTATTTACGATTAATTAATAACAATTTTTTGTATTATGTTTGTTTTTTTTTGTTTTCGCAAAATTTTCTTCACGGCTTTTGAAAAATGAGAGAGAAAGATAATGTTTGCAAATTTATTAAAGATTATGGGAGTAGATTCGCCATCAGATGGTCGATTATTCTTTTCTGTCGAACGATTCGATTATACCAAAGGAATTAAAGAGAAATTATTGGCATATAAAAAGTATTTTGAAAAACATCCGGATAGAATTGGAAAAGATGTACTGTATCAGGTATAGCAATTCATTCTATCGTATTTTTATGACTTTTATAAAATAGGATATTACGACGTTAAATTAATTTCTTTCAACATATACTTTTTTAATTAAAATTTTTACCTTTAAAATAAATGTTTGGTTTGATTAAATGGTTTTCAAAATAATATTGTCAAGTTAGTTTTGGCGATGTATAAAACAAAAGAATGAAAATGATGAAAAATTAAGAGATAGCTGAAATTGAAAATAAAAATTAAATATCAAACCTTTAATAACTTCAAATTTAGATTGCGGTAATAAATAGACGTGCTGTTGATACCTATCGTATGTATCAAGATGAATGCATTTTATTAGCGGAGGGTATCAATAAAATATGTACGTGTGCAAATCGACCAAATTGGAAACCATTAATTTTTGAAACGGAAGGATTGCCAAGAAAAGAACTTATTGCTTGCTATTTAGCAATGGATATCGGTGTTGTAACACCAAAAAAAGATGGCATGAATTTGGTTAGAATCACATTTTTCTATTTAATTTAAATTTCACTGATCATTAGAAATTTAAAGTTTCGAACACTTTATAATTAGCTAATTAATTATTTGAATTTTTCAATTGATTATTGTGCAATGAAAATTTCACATCATATTTTAGGTAGCAAAAGAAATGCTCTTATGCAATCCGAATGCAGGATTAATACTATCATCAGGTGCCGGTAGTGAAGTGCAATTTTCCAGAGCAGGATTTTATCAGGAAAGTGGTGATCAGTGTTACAAACGAGTAGTTGATCTATATAATCTAGATAGTTATTCGGATGCATTTTATCAAGCTGCTATTCAAGACTTAACAGAACGTCGTGCCAATAGTACCCGGTTACATGATTTTATCTTAGCCAATGATATTGAAAAATGGAGCACAGCCTTCTTAGATCCATCTTGGACCCATCATGTGATTAGATCAATCGAAGTATGATTTCATTTTCAGTTCTTTTTTCCTTCTTTTTGTAAGATTCATTTATCTCTAAAAATATTCATTCCATTTTATTTATATTCTTAAATTTTACTATTACCTGTAATTGATTCTGCGTGCTTTTGAAAATACCTTTTATTTGTTTTAACTTAAACATAGTAGATTTTTTTCGTAAATTAATGTATTATAAAATAAGATTAAACTGATTTAAAAATGAAAGTAATTAAGCCGGAAGATTTGAAGAGCTTAATTGAAATAAATTCAATTAAATTTTAATCAAAATATAAATATATATGTGCATGGAATTTTTGGAAGTTATAAAATTTGCATATTTTACTAAAAATTATGAAAAACAGGTAAAAACATTGGAAGATTTCTATACGGTTATGTTACAAACACGTAACGTTAGACGTCAAATCGTGGAACATGTCCTGAAAGGTATTCCAATGCGAAGTCATTTTATTATTTCACTGAAGAATGCGCTCGATTCATTGAAGCTAAGCTGTAAAGAAAATACCATACTTAATCTAAGGACATCATCGGAAGAAAATATTGCGGATTATGCTAGTTTTGATATCAGAAATGAATTGGATGAATTCGAGAAAGATTTATGCTTTTTAAAATTTATCGAAAGTGATAATGTTTACAATGTTGAACAATTTGTTGATGTTAGTTTATTTTTGTTGCATTCATTAGTTTTCCTATAATTTCATAGAAGAAAATTAATTACTCCCCAGGTGTTAATTAATCTTGCAAAAGAAGAGAAGGAATGAAACTATTGATGGCCATAAGACAATTATTGCTTGCCATTCTTAATTATTAAAAATAGGGACCTAAATTTTTCATTCATTTTTTTTCTCCCTAATTCTGGATATTTTGTTATACAAAAAAATGAAATTTAAAAAAAAATTAGGAAGAGATAATTAATTTTACAATTAATTAATGCATAATTACCAACGAGATAATCAATTTTATAATTAATAAATTATAGACATTGCTTGCTTATCATCCTAAATCATCAGCAGCATTCAAAGAAGAAGTGGCAGAAGCTGTCGGTCTTCTATATGATGCCGATCATTTTCAGTATTTCTTCACAGATCGCGACGGCACATTAAAATCATATTCTTGTAATTATCAAGCTAGTATCCAACCAGCTTATGCTGCTGTCATTCAGGTTCAAATATATATATTTTTTTTATTTTAAAATCTTACCTCATCACTAAAATATTTTTAAAAAATAATATATATAATAATAAATGACGGCAAATCTAATATAATAAATTATGGTATCTTAATGCTATTAAAAAAGAAATTATTCAAATTATTTTAGCTATGATTCATATCTTTCCTATAGTAATCTCAGTATCTTTCATTTTAAAAGTGTGTAAATATGTTTTATTAGCTAATTAGCATATTATGTGTAATTCATCAAAATTTTTGATAATATGAATTAAGCAATCAAATTAAACTATTTTTTAGATGTGAGTACTTACAACTGTAATAAAAAAATATATCGTCTGAAATTCTAACACATGGATTTATTATAAATATACCTTAAATCATTTCAAATTTCTATTATTTATATATTTAATTAGAAAACAATTTTCCGTGTCGTTTTTTCCGTAACCCGGAAATTTTTTACTTCGGAAATAATTCTTAATCAGTTAACAATTTCAGGCTCAATTTGCTAGACGTTGCGCTCAAACATGTGCAATTATTACAACATCACCATTAATTGGTGTTGGCGTATTGGATGTAAGCACAATGCCTGAAGGTATGCATTTGTCTTTAAACAATTATAGTAAAAATTATTACATAGCTTTAAGCAATCCTGTAAGTTACTTTTGATTATATTTTCGAATATTTTCTTACTCCTAATTACACTGAAATATTTTCGATTCAATTTGATAGTTTAATTATTGAAAAATTTTTTTGATTTAAAGAAAAAGATTTCAGGCTATTACTATTATGGTGCTTCTGCTGGACGAGAATGGTTCATTGATCCACGCAATAAATTTCACGATCTTAGTATAACTGTTGAACAGTTGCAATTTCTTGATAAGGTATATTTTACAAATTTTGATACTTTCAACTGCATCTGTAAAATTTGAATTTTTAAAAGTAAATTGTATGTTCGAAATTTTCAGTATTCAATTATAAGGCAACAGAGTATTGTCATATCGAGGATAATTACTGTCTTTTAGGTGTACGATACTATTCAGGAACTTTTAAATACCCAAGAATTCAAATATTTTAAATTCATCGGATCAGGCTTACAAAAACATTACGGTCATTTAACTATTGCATATCAAGATATCTATAATTCGGTACCAATAGAACAATCCAAAGCTCTGTTTGTTTCTTTTATTTTTATCATACAATTATGGGAAAAAGAAATTGAGCTTATTATTAATTCATAATATTTTAAAATATAGAAAAAATTAAGTTAATTACGAATTAAGTTAATTACGAAGGTATGAATCTTTTAAGATGAAAAAAATTACTCTTTAAATTTATGCAATATTATTTTCATTACTTTATAAAAGTTTTTTATTATAAAATCAATATAATTTTTGACGTTCAACAAATTTCTACATCAATAACAATATTTATAAGTTGAAGAAATAGCAAAATGCAATAATGAAAAGTTCAAATTATATTTATTTCCACATTTAATGAAAAGGTCAATAAAAGTGCTTTCATTGCACTTTTATTCTGATATGAGATGTTGCAATACAAATGAAATAATAATAATTATAATAATAGCAATAATAATAATAATAATAATGGAATGAAGTTCTGTAAAATCTGATAATTCATTTATCATTCATACATAATAATTTAATGCATGATATGATTTGATATAGCATATGTTCATTTATGAAATGATGTGTAATATGCATTATAAATGATTAGATTCATGCTAGAATTATTCTTAATCATTTGACGTCAAAACTTTGATTATGTCATAATGAAATGGTTGTTGTTGCAACAATCATTTTAATTATATCAAAAGCAACGAAGTAGAAAAATAGGGGGAGAAAATTAAGAAATAAATAAATTTGATAATTAATACAATATTTGTTTATTTACTAAATTATAAATGAACTAAATGAAATTAACTGAGCAACTGATGATGTGAAGTTTTCTTTAGTAAGTTGACTGATATTGTGCTATTACAACATGTAGATAATTTATTATTAATTAAATTTGATAATTAATACAACATCTGTTTATTTATTGGATTATAAATGAACTAAATAAAATCAACTGAGCAATTGATCGTGTGATGATTTTTTTAATAAGTTAACTATGTGATATTATAATATGTAATTAGTTTATTGAGGATTAAATGGCTGTTTCATTGTTTCATTCAATTTGATGGATTAAGTAGCAAATTAATTTTTATCAAGGACAAGAAATACTATCTTATTTTATTAAGTATTTTTAAGACTTAATTTTTTTTAAACTCAAATTATATTAACTATTAATTTTAAGCTTAAAGAAAATCAACGAAATTGTAAACGAGATAGATGGAATGCGACGAGAATTGGTAGTAAATGAGGGAAGCACCGATATTAAAATATACCTAAAGGTCTACTCTATAGATAATTTAATTAAATGCTAATATCAAAATTTAATGCAAGTCAAAAATTTGGTTTTTGAATTTTCAAGATCTTTTTCATTTTGAAATGATTTTCATATAGTTAAATCGATTCATCATTTATTCAAAGTCATGAATCATAAAGCTTTTATGACGATTAAAATATTAGGACAAAAGTATGCTAGAATCGATTTTAATAATTTGCTGCAATTACATATAAAATTATCGATCAGTTCGAATAATTAAATGGTCGCTGCTTTTTTACCTCAACAATTTTATAGTTAAAAAGTTTTTGTTGTGAAGCTAAAAAACAGCGAAGTATGAAATTATCGTTTTACATTATTTCTTTTTTTTGCTATTTTTAGAATTCAGATGGAATAACTTTTAATAAAGGTCATGGTATTGCATTATTGGTTCAACATATTCGTTGCAAACTATCCGATGGTAATATTTTGGTATGCGGTGATAGCGAATCTGATTTACCAATGGTAGAAGTATGCTTAGGACGTAATCCACATAATGTTTATACGATTTGGGTTACCGAACGACAAGATTTGAAAGAAAAGGTTAGTTTTTAGTTTAATCTATTTAATTGGATTCTTTAATTTTTTTATAGTTAAATCTTCGAGCTTTTTTAAAAAGTGTCTTAGGAAATGGTTTGTGAATTGCCATCATTCGAAGTTGGAACAATCTTCCGGTTACAGAAATTCTTCATAAAGTTGGAACAATCTTCCTGTTTATTTATATATTAATTACCTCATCGTCAACATCTTATTTCACTTTATGTTTAGGCAATGCTACTTTCATAGCTATTACAGGTAATGTCATTATGCAGTCGATATGGGAATAGAAATATTGCATTTGTATCGTGCCCTGAAGTATTACTTGGCGCTATGGCTCAAGCAACAATACGTGAAATTAGCATTATTAGGCCACGAAATAAGGCATCACGTAAAAGCATGTAATTTTGCTAATCCTCAAATGAAAATTGTGCTTTCATCATCTTGTGGTGCAAAGAAAGATATTATTAAATATTTCATTTAAGAAAAAAGGAAGGAAAAAAATTTTAAATAAGATAATTTCTTTATTAGATTCTTTTCTTGATTCTCACCTTTTTTTCTTCAAAAATAAATTTTGATAATTTTTAATTTATGATAATTGCAATGGAAATCAATTTGTTTAAGATTAAGAATGTATTATAAGAAATATTACAACCAATAAGTTTGATAGTTTTCATTTAAAAGATATAATTCATAAGTTCTCCAATGTGCCTTACTGTTAATTTTATTTTTGTAGATTTACAAAACAAAAAGTGAAAATTTGAAAATGACGAAAATTCATTTTTTGTATTTCTTACACTATCAAAACAAAAAGGAAAATGACGGGAATTCATTTCTGTATTTCTTACAGTATCAAAACAAAAAGGAAAATGACGGGAATTCATTTTTGTATTTCTTACAGTATCAAAACAAAAAGGAAAATGACGGGAATTCATTTTTGTATTTCTTACAGTATCAAAAAAACTGTTAAAATGATGTAAAATAGATGATAGATAGAGTACCATGGATGGTGTTGATATAAGAATTGAGTGATAATTCAATATTTATTGATTTATTTCAACTGACCAATCTTCTCATAAATAGTTAGAGAATAAAAATAAACAGTAATTATTGATATGGGAATGTATTATGATGTGGATAATATGATAGTTGTAATTAATCTATAAATTTTCATCTTTATCTTTAAAAGGTTCCGAAAATCGATATAATTTGAAATTGTTTTGATAGTTGTAAAAATTTTCGTTCAAAAAAAGCAAAACAAATAAAACGAAGATGAAAAGAAATCGCATACTGATTATTTACATTGAATTTCGATACATTGCTAAAAAAATTTGTAAAGAGAAAGTAAAGTTAGCATAAGGATAATTATCACTTATTATAATTATCATACAGCTGGGATATATGTTAGTGACACATGAGCTCGGTATCTTATACAGTGATAAGACAATGATAAGAATGATAAGAAAGATATATTTTAAGAAAGATATCATTTTTCAATGAATCTGATTTAACACCTTAATATATTAAGAAAGCTTATATTATAAGTTTCAACTGTCAATTAATTAATTACAATTAAATGATTTGGTACTTATCAAAAATAATACAGCAAAAAGTAATTTGAAATTAACATACTAATAAATATACATATGAAATTAGATTTCTTTGATTTGTTTTTGACAAACATCCCGTACAGCATCTCATTTTAATCATTGAAATATAAAATTATTCATTTGACATTTGACAGAAACTCAGAAAAGAAAAGTTGTGAAATATTTATAAACAAAATAACCTACGCGATCGGTTTGTTTACATAACAATTGGGAAGTAAAATGTAATTAATTCCTCTTTTGTTTTCAAGAGTTTCATTTCAACTACCTATGCATGCATTTGAAATTAAACAGAAAAGTTTTGGTAGTAAAAAATGGATTGAAATAATTTCGAATATTTAAGTTTTAAAAATTAACAGTAGCATATCATTTGCCGAAATACAATTACAAAATATGTACAAAAGCGATTTTTCAAAATGGAAAAAAAAAACAACATTTAATTAATTTGATTAATTAAAAAAATTTAATTCCCTAAATTTTGATCAACAAAAAAAATTGGATCAAAAAAATTAATTTTTAAAATGAATTGAATGATAGGAATGAAATGAAACAATCGTTGCATAGGTAATGCTAATTTATCCTACCTTCCATATCATATGAAGCAATGATTTATTATTTTCTTTTTATCATTATTTTTTGTTGCTTCACGAAAATTCGAAATTTAATAAATAGAAATGAATGAAAGTATTTTTACTGAAATTAAAATTTCATCATCAATGTTGCAATTAGCAAGATATATTTATATTCTTGACTAATTAATTTTTCATTGATTTAAACTTTATAATTATTCAATTTAATTACCGTCATATTACATCAATATCAATTTAATAACTTCTTCGTTGTTCATTAAAAAAAATAGAGGAAAAATATATGGTAAATTAAAAGGTATTAATTGAATCAAAAAACAAGTTTTAATTTCATAATCGAATTTAATACTCGATTACCATTTCCACTTTTATGTGTGATAGCAATTCGAATTGCTGCATCGAATACTTGCCGAATACCCTAAAAATAATAATTGAAAATATTATCGTTGATATCAATGTAATAGAATTGATGATAAGCTGTATATCAATTAATGAAATCAATATGACGGAAATATGCATAAATGCATTAAATATCATAATCAATTAATACTTCTATAAGATTAGTAACAATAGTGTTGAAAATTTTAGCAATTAATTACTGTAGAACAATTGATTAGCAATTCTTATTCATTTATAAGATGGATTGAAATGCTAATCGCATTACAATTTTATGATGCAATTAATTATTGTAATATATTTCTAATATGTTAAACGTTGCAAACATTATTCTAATGCTATTAATATTTACATCCTATCACTATTGCAATAATTATTTATCGTATTTCAATTCAAAAAAAAAATTGATTTCAAGGAGAAAGATTATTTAGTAAAAAATAATGAACCATAATTTCATAATTGATTAATTAGCTGATTTTAGCATTGAAAGAATATTTAGTTGTAAAATGAGAAAAAAATAATGAACCATAATTTCATAATTGATTAATTAGCTGATTTTAGCAATGAAAGAATATTTAGTTGTAAAATGAGAAAAAAATAATAAACCATAATTTCATAATTGATTAATTAGCTATCTTAGCATTCAAACTCAAATTTCGACAATGCGTAAATTAAAACTTTAACCTCTTTTGTTTTTGCCGAGCATTCCATTACTCGATGAGCGGAAAATTCTTTAGCGCATGCTATTGCATCATCAAAATTTACCAAATGTTTGTGTTGGAAATTTTCGTTGCATTCTTTTTGACGTTCTCGCTCTTCCTCATTTCGAATATCTTTTTTGTTACCAACCACCAGGATTGGAACATCCGGACAAAAGCGCCGAATCTAAGATCAAATTTTCGTATTTTTGTTTAGATAATACTTGAAAATTATATTCATATTTCATTTGTTTATTGTTAAACTTTTCGGTCGAAAAATTTCAATATTTTTTAATACTTTAAAATTTTAATATTTAATATATTACAAACCTCAGGTATCCATTTTTCCTGAACACTTTTCAATGATTCTGGCCTTTCCACCGAATAGCATACGATGAAGACATCGGCATCAGGATAGCTTAACGGTCTTAAAGTATTATAATCATCTTCACCAGCTGTATCGCGTACAGTCAATACCTTCTGTAATTTTATTTTTTCAATTTAAAAAGTTAAATTAATTAACTATAATTAGTACAGATTATTATGGATTTTGATTGAGATTAATCTTTAAGGCATAAGATTAAAAAATCGAAAGTTTGCTGATTTAAATCGTATGAAAGATTTTAGCCGACGTTGAAAGAATGTCTTGAAAAATTTGAATAAAATAAAAAAATATAATCGATTTTTATAGTTAAAAACACAACAGCGAATTTTATATCAAAAATTATTTCATATTTTAATTTAGAAATTAAAAAAAAAATTTCATTTAAAGTTAATTAAATGAAAATTAAGATAATGAAGAAACTCAATTATTATTGTTACATACCGTTTTTCCATTTATAAGCGCTTCAATTGCATAATCATCAAAAGCTGTTGGCGTATATTGCTCGATAAATTCACCACCAGCTTGGGCAATAATTAAGTTTGTTTTTCCACATGCTCCATCACCAACTACTACAAATTTGAATTGCTTGCGGGTCATTGACCAATGTTTGCTACAGAAATTGCAGCAACCAAAGCAGTTGAAATAATTCGACTCAATTTTTAAATGGTAAATTTCAGAAAGATGTGAAATAATTTTTTGCTTTATATGATTTCAATAAAGAATTAAATCAGCAGGTGTAATAATGCTGATTGTTTAAGAGTAACAGTAAATGAAGAGTTGAATGATACTTGAAATAATCCATTCATATTGTTGAAGACAATATCGTTGATTACTAAATTTGCATATTTCATTACTTTTAAACGATATAACGATTAAACGAAAAAGAAACTTACAAGTTGTACAAATTTAGAAATTAAAAAATTTAATCCAAAATTAAAATATCATCGCAATGGTACAAATGATTAAGTAGTCTATAACCAATTTTAAAAATTAAATTTGTTGATTTCATAATTAATTGTGATTTATTACGGTACAACTTGAATTTACAATAATTGCTGATATTGAAGAATTTTTTTTACATTATGCGTTGATAAATTATTTAACAAAATATAATTAGAATTAAGAAAAAAAGATTATGCAATAAAAATGAATCAGAAATTATTCAAAGTTAAATCGTGGGTAAAAATTCATAGAAAGGGTTTCTAAATGGAAAGATTAATTTTAAATATTTATTTTAAAAAGAATGAAATATGAAAGTGATACTTGACGTGTAATATAATTCAATATTATATGTAATAATTAATATTGTTCAGTAGATACGAGCAAGTGAGGAGAAAATAATTCAATAATTTTCTACGCAAAAAAAAAGAACCTTAAATATCCAATTATCTTTTCAGTGTTTTTATTTAATTGGTATTAAATAAAAACAATGGTTTTCAAATTTTGCTTCGAATTTATTTAAAAGTTTTATTTGTGAAAAAAAAATAGCTGTCATAGAAATGATAATTGAAATTAAATATTTATGAATGTGGCAGCTATATTTAGCGTGTAAAATTAATTTTTCATTTTTTAAAATTTTATTTCTAAAAGTTTTAAATTTCCAGGAAATTGTTTAATGAGAAAAGAAAAGTAAAATAGGCCCTAAACTTTTCTAAAAATTGGAGTTTTTAACTGTTTGTAATGTTGCATAATATAAGCAAATAAAATGTTATTTACAATATCGATCATATTTAAATAATATATTTAAATTTATTTGAAACTTAGGAATCTAATTTCAATTCAAATAATATCTAAAAATAATTTTGGAAGTGTTAGATGATAGAAAGTCAATTTAGTACATTATTATCTAAAATGCTTCATAACACTACGACCGATCTATGTTACCTTTTTTTCAACAAATTTTGTTCATCTAAGCGAAAAGTGGGAAAAAATCTTTGAAAAGTAGTAAATGGATAAGATTCAATTTCAGTGCAAATGATTTTTATTTCCATTTCCATTTCCATTTCCATTTCCATTTCCATTACTCTTCTGTAAGCTTACTACATTCATTTATTTTTTTCATTGAGAATTTAGTGGAATCAAAAAAAGAGTACCAAATATTTCATCCATTTTTTTAAATTGTATAATATTTGTTTGCAACGAAAGAAAAAGACAAAAAATCAATTTACAAATAGCTAAATTAATTAGGAGAGTTGGTTCGATCGAAGTATTATCAAATATTATAAATGATCCTCATTTCCATTTCTATTTATTTCGCAACTTTTTGTTATTACACGTTAGTTTCACGTAGACTAAGTTTCGTAGGCTTATTAATATACGTCAATTCTACAATGAGACGCTCAGAATTATGAAATTTGATAAGGTTGTTAAAATACACGTTAGTTTCACTTCGTAAGCTTATTAATAAACGTCAATTCTACATAAAGAAACGGAGAATTATGAAATTCGACAAGGTTGTTAAAATACAGTTTCACGTAAACTAAGTTCCGCAAGCTTATTAATAAACGTCAATTCTACAAAGAGAAACGGAGAATTATGAAATTCAACAATGTTGTTGAAATACACGTTAGTTTCATATAGAAGAACTCAGAAGTATTTTATAAGTTTTGTTATGAAACGTTGAGGAGTTAAGGTGTTTTATGATTACACATCCATAATAACTTACTGTTTTTTTCAAATAAATAATAAATCACTTAGAATTTAAAAAAATTGAACGAAATTAAAATTAAAAACGCTAATTAAAATAATTAAATAAATAAATAATAAATAATTAAATTAAAAAAATTAAAATATTAATTAAAATAATCATTGATATAAAAATATATTGTTATATTTTGATTTTGAAACTCTTCTCTTTATTTACCTTATAATTGTAACTATGAAATTTAGAACATCAAAATTATAATTTCCATGCAAATGATATGCATTATAATTGAAATGATATATATTGCTAAATCAAAATACTTTTTAAGGTTTAGTGAACAGAAGCTGTCAAATTTAGTACATAATTTATTCCGTATATCTTCACACAATTAGAAGTAATTATAAAAGTATTATTTAGTTGGAAGAACAATTTCCTGATTTATTACTTAATAGTATAGTTTATAAAATGACTGAAATTTTTAGGTTAATTTCAAACACCAATTTTGAATTTTTAGGTAAATTTTAAATATTAATTTTAAATTTTTAGGTAAATTCTTGATATTAATTTTGAATTTTTCAAATACGATTTTATATAATTAATTTAAATTTCGCATTCATAAATTTTTCGAAATTTTAGCAAAATATTTGAATGAAATATCTGTTACGAAAATCTAAGCGATACGAAGTGCGACGACATTAACGAAGGAGAAAAAAATGAAGAATTTACGAAAGTATGCACAATTCTCACTTCACCCTTAATCCACACCTCTTCCTTCCTCTCCCACACACCTCCTCCTCATCTACTTCCTATAAACCTCCCACACTTTCTTCTTTCCTCAGTATTTCATAATTTATTCAAAATCTTTTCAAATCCTCCATGTTCTTCCTGAAGCATTAAATGACAAATTATCGTAACAAATGGTAGTTATTTCTAGTTATTCGATATCACATTTATATTCATTATCATTCACTCGCCTTTTCAATTATATCATTTCAATGATTTTCAGACCGAATCCGGAAGGAATAATAATTTTCAGAAATTCCAGAAATTATCGTAACATATTATCTATAATACATTATCATTCACTCGCCTTTTCAATTATATCATATCAATTATTTTCAGACCGAATCCGGAAGGAATAATAATTTTCAGAAATTCCAGAAATTATCGTAACATACTATCTATAATACATTATCATTCACTCGTCTTTTCAATTATATCATATCAATTATTTTCAGACCGAATCCGGAAGGAATAATAATTTTCAGAAATTATCGTAAACATACTATCTATAATATAAAATAAAATAATTGCAGTAACATTTTGTACAATGATGTGATTATATATATAAATATATAACAATTACTAGTGAAACACAAAAAAAAATGTTGAAAATGTATGCATTGATTTGAAACTAGACGATATCGAAATTATTCAAATTGTTCGCTTCCTCTTCCTCTCCCTCTCTCTCTCTCTCTCTCTCTCTCTCTCTCTCTTTCGATAATTGTCCGAATTCATTTTAATTTAAACAAATTTTTCTTGTGGTATGATTTTGAAATTTGCTCTTACAACAAAAATAAAAAGTTAAATTTAGGAAGAATTAAAACCAGCCTAACATGCTGTAGATTACGATTAAAATATTAAAATTACGGTAGCAGAATGATTTCATAACAAAAAAAAATGAAATATCTTGATAAAAAGCAATGCATCGGCATATTATTGTATCGTTAGAAAATCGCAATAATTGCGACAAATCGAAATTAAAAATAAATAATTGCGGCAAATTGAAATCAAAAAAATAAATAATTGCGACAAATCGAAATAAAAAAAATAAATAAAAATTAAATAAACATCGTAAAATGAAGCATTTTGTTTAAAACAAATGTTTGAAAATGTCGTACAAATTTATAAAATCGTTTTGGATAAACTTTAAAGCTTCAATACAACCTATCATTGCTATTTATTTTATTATGTCAATCATATTAATTAATGCAATATTAATTTAATTACGTTTAATCAATTTACTGTTTAAGCATTTCTTTTCACTCCTATTTTATATTAATTTCTTCTATTTCGCAATATAATGATCGCAAAATGCAACGATCATCAGAAATTTGATAGATATAAGCAACAAAATTATCAGTCCGACAATTATAATAATTTAAATTTCCAAGCACTTATTAAATTATCCCTTTTTATCCTCTTTTAATTAATTATTCATTATTGAAATTTCATTTCTTTTTTTTTCTTTTCCATCTCATCTATAACATTATATTTTTTTGCTGGAATTTTTCTCACATCCATAATTTTACATTCCGTAAATTAATTTACTTTCATTTAATTCGTTCACTATTTTTATCCTTTCAATTCATCATTTATTTCATATCTTATCATCTTGTCGTATTTCCAAATCGATCATCTACTTTTTATTCCTTTTCTATCACATCTGCTTGGTACTAATTGGTATTGCGTCTATTTCGTGTATATATAAATAAATAAGTGAAAATTGAATTTGGGAGTAAAAAAAGTCATCTAGTTAAAAAAAGACCAATAAATAAGTTAACTTTTAAAAGCTAAAGTTGATTTCATTTCCAGAATAAATCCAAATCACTCCCGCATTAACATGAAAAGCTAAAATTGATTTTGTCCCATAAATTCACTTAGGCATTTTGAAAGAAACTAACTTATCCATTTAAGTAATAGAAGGAAAAAAAGTGGAAAAGGACATGTGAAGGATTGATATGGGGGTGGTGGAAAGGAAACATAATAACGAATTCTTTTCTACTATTCACTTCATTGAATAATTTATATTGAAAAGAATTTTTAACGACATTAATGATTGATGAATGATGTAGGAAAAATGATGACGAAATGGGTAATTAATTGAGTACAAATTGAATGTTAGTAATTAATTCGAGTATAAACTAAATTTTTTTAAATGAAGTACATTATG